TTTTTTTTTTTTTTTTTTTTTTTTTTTTTTTTTTTTTAATAATGAATTTTTCACAAAAAAAAAGGGGGGGGGGGGGGGGGGGGGGTTAGCTCGGGTGGTTATAGCGAGGTGTTGTGACACCAAGGTCAAGAGTTCAGATCCCCACACTGGCCAGCCACCAAAAACAAAAACAGAGAAGAATCAGGCATTTGGAAATTACAAGGGACTTATAATGAGATGAGATATAAAATATGACTATCAACAATCACTATCAACCCTAAAAACACCATTTTCTTAAACACAGGTGCCTGCACAAAAGCCACTCTGAGCACAGGTGCAGAGGGACTTGGGGTGTGACTACTGGATCATCTTATCAGAAGAAAATTTAAAAATATTTACCAGAAGTTTTTCCACAAGGTCTCTCGCCTTAGGGAAGAATTTTTCTGGGAAGTCATATTCCAACTTAATGATCTTCTGAAATATAAGATATTCATTTCTGTAAAATAAAGTTTAAAAAGCAGTCATTCCAGGCAGGGTCCTGCAAACCTCCACATATAGTGAATGAGCTTTTCCTGGAACAGTGCAGGGCCTCAGTCTCACCACACATGAACTGCCCAGCCACGCACACTCACGGATCAGTATGAAAGTCCTGCCCCTAACGGCACAGGCCTGGGACAGCCCTCTCCTACTTCTCTGTCAGGGAGGAACCACAGGGCCCAGCGGGGGTGCTGTCTCCTTCTTACCCAGCTCGAAACGGTGGGAGTCCTGCCACAAGCTGATATATTATGCATCCAAGAGCCCAAAGGTCTGAACTTTAAGGTAGGGAAGAAAAAAAAAGAAAAATGACATTTGTAAAATTTAACCGACAAGCACAGTTCGTTTCTTGTTCGGTCTGTCTACATCACCCCAGTTTCAGCCTCCATTTAAAGTCAGTTACGTGTGAGTGGAACCTGCCCTCCAGGGGTCCCCTGGGGACCTTCACAGGACAGGCACCACCAGGCCAGTCGTTTGGCTGCCCTCAAAGTTTTGCCACTTCCAGTGGATGTCACCAACTTCCACACATACCCTGTTCTCACCCTGGAGAGCCACGCATGCTGCAGCAGGGGACGGGGATCAAAGAAGGGCGCTAACATTGTTTCCAATAATGACTATGGGAAAAATCTTACAGAAGATCACCCTCCTTTTGATGCCAATGAGGAGAGTGGGGGATAGGGTAGGGTAGGGTAGGGGGAGGGCAGGCTCGCCCCAATCAGTGGCAGGTCAGTACAGCTACAACTAAATGCAGCACCCACCAACTAAATGGGGCACAGGTGAGGCACTTGATGTGGGTTTTAAAATGCAACAGATTAGAAATCTGAGTCACAACACACAGAGTGAAGGGCATTTAAAAAGTGAATTTGGGCTGGTTAGCTCAGTCGGTTAGAGCATAGTGTTATAACATCAAGGTCAACGGTTGGGATTCCCCAACTGGTCTGCCACCAAAACTAATCAATTAATGATTAAATTAATAAATAAAAATTAAAACAGAATTTACATTCAACTCAGTAACTAGTTTTCACACTTCGTTTTTTACTGTTTAGTTTAAATGAAGAGTAATACAAGGAAAAAATTTTTAATACAATAAAAAAATAAAGGGGGAAGCCAGTATAATATTTCTGGGAAGCAGAATGTAACAAGGATTTCTTTCAGTGCTCAGTTACACCATGCCACTTGAAATCCAAACCCAGGAGCTTGGGGCAGCCCCAGTGCTCTGCAGCTCGGCCCAGCAGACGCCCTGTCTCTCCCACTAGATGGAAGACAGGACACCTCCTGAGGCAAAGCACCCTTCTCCTGGCCACGCAGTCTAAGCAGCACACAACAGGCATGCCAACTATGTGCTAAATAAATGAAAACCACTTCAATGACCAACAGCAAAGGAATAGTTCAATGAACCACAATAAACTCATACAATAGAAAATCACACAGCTATTAAAGATGTCTGCAAAAAATTTTAATGACACCAGGGAATGCTCATTATATAATCACAAGGAACAGGATTCAAAACTGGCTATCCAGTATGACTCCAATTGTATAAAATCACATAAACATACATAAAAATGCATAGAAAAAAATGGAAAGACATATACCAAATTATCAGCAGCTATAAGAATTCTTTACAATGATTACGTATCACTTTTTTGTGTGTGTGTGAACCCCCCTCCCCCCCCAAATATCACTTTTAAAGTCAGAAAAAAACATTTTTTAATAAATATCATGGGGCCGGCCCGGTGGTGCACTGCTACAGTGCACCGCTTGAGAGTGCGGCGGCGCTCCCGCCGAGGGTTCGGATCCCACATACAGACCGGTTCCCGCTCACTGGCTGAGCGAGGTGTGGGCGCAGCACCGAGGGTTGCAATCCCGTTGCCGGTCCCGGTCCGGTACGGGCGCGACACTGAGGGTTGCGATCCGTTGCCGGACACGAAAAAAGACAAAAAATAAATAAATAAATAAATATCATGACTTAAAAAATAAAAAGCATAGCGACAGGTTGGTTAACAGAAACTAAAGTACAACTAAATAGGAGGAATAGTATCTAGTGTTCTAGAGCACTATGTGGTGACTATAACAATTTATTGTATAGTTTCAATTAACTAGAAGAGAGGATTTTGAATGTTTCCAACGCAAAGAACAATAAATGTTTGAGGTAATGGGAAAAAAAAAAATCAGTGGTTGCCAGGATTTCAGTGGATGAAGAAGGGATGAATAGGCGGAATACAGAGGATGTTTAGGGCAGCAAAACCATTCTGTATGATACTGTAATGGTGAATGCATGACATTATGCATTAGACAAAACCCATAGAACTGTACAATAATACAAGGAGGGAGCCTAATATATAATTAAGTTAATAATAATATGCCAATATTGATTCATAATTGTAACAAATGTACCACACTAACATAGCATGTCAATAATAGGAGAGGGCTGACAGGTTAGCTCAGTTGGTTAGAGCACAGCTTTGTAACACCAGGGTCAAGGGTTCAGTTCCCCACACCAGGCAGCTGCCAAAATTAATAATAATAATAATAACAACAACAACAGGAGAAACAGTATGTGGGGGGGATGGGAACTATCTGTATTTTCTGCTCAATTTCTCTGTAAAACTAAAACTACTCTAAACATAAAGAAAAAAAGGGAAAAAAATTTTAATTAAAGTGTAAAAAAATACATAGTGATGCTTCCCTCACAACTCTGTTTCCATACCCCTGCAAACAACCACTGCTATCCATTTCTTGTATACACTCATAGAGAACTTGAAATGCACATGCAAACAAACGTGGACATAGACTCGCCCCCTTTCCACAGAAGGTGGCACCCTATCCAGGCATATATATGTAGAGTATGGAGGTCTTTCCACATCAGTGCTAAAGAGCTTCTCCACCTAAAATCTACAAGCAAGGAAAATCTAGTCCTTAGGTGGCAGTGCCATACACTTTGAAACCCTGGTCAATCATGCCCACCACCTGCAGGAGGTGTCTCAACCTCGCACTGTGGGCATTCTCTGTGGTGGGAGCAACCTCTGCACTGTAGGGTGTTGAGCAGCACCCCTAGCCTCCACACCCTGGGTGCCAACAGCACTCCCCAGCCCTAGTTGTGACAACTAAAACTAAAACTGTGTCTAGACATGGCCAAATGTCCCCTGGGGGCAGAATCACTCCACCTAGGAGGCTCTGACCTAGACAGTGCCTGGTCCATGGTAAGAACTCAGTATCCGTCGACTGAATATGACAAGTGGAGCCCATTAAACAAAAAAGCCAGGAGACCCAAGCTGAGTTTCTCAGAGCATCCTTCCATCCTGCCATCATTTTTGTGACTGTGACTCCATACCCAAAGAGTTGTTTTAAAGCTGTCAAGCTCAGAAACACAGAGCTGCTGACCCCAAAATCTTTCACTCTATTGTTCTCGCAGGGTGGCTCACTTCACTCCAGGAAAGTGGCCCCATGAAACCCTGCCAGAGTGGGACCCGGATAGTGCAGGACCCATGTGGTCCTCTGGCAGCTCATGAGAGGATGCCAGTGGGCAGAGCGGCCGGAACGGAGCCAAATCCAACACCGAGCAGCCTCTGACTGGCCCAGGACAGGAAGATCCCAATCACACCTTCACTCTACAGAACTTACTGGCACACCTGGAACTGCTTCCCAAACTGCATCCCCAGATTCTTCTTTTTTTTTTGTCCTTTTTGAGACCGGCCACACCACGCTCAGCCAGTGAGCGCTGTGAACGCACCAGTCATCCCTATATAGGATCCGAACCTGTGGCGGGAGCGCCATCGCGCTCCCAGCGCCGCACTCCCCCGAGTGCGCCACGGGCTCGGCCCGCACCCCCAGATTCTAATGCTGTTTCTCAGTCTCCCCGCTGCCTTGCACCCGCCCACCTAAGCCAGCGCATTAGATTCCCACAGCCTCCTTTTCTGCGCTGCCTAGTTGTCCTGTGGGCTGACCCTGCTCCTCCTCCCAACCTCAGGTCATGCAAGCAGAACCCACCCATGGACGGGCACCAGTCCCTCTGTCCCCTGCACCCACCATGCACTCCTAATTTTCACAACTGAGGCTGTCATCAAGGCCCAGCTGCATCTCTCAGAGAAATACAACCCTGCGGCCACTGAGAGCCTGTCCCAGGGCTAGCTGGCTATAGCTGGGAACCTCCCTCCATCCTTCCCCTCCCCCACATGCTCCATGGGCCCTGTCACACTGACAGCTACCCTGCCACTGCGAGTCCCCACAGCTAGTCTTCCTGCCTGACATCCTCACAGGAGGCGGCACCTAGGGCTCCCTGCTCCCTGGACCCAGCAGCCACACTTTCCCCAATGAACAGTCTTTTCTGAAGCAACAAGATCAAATCTCCAACCAGAAAGCAACAACCAACCCAGAAAGTATAAAATAAAGTAGCATGCATGTGTATCAAAGGAAAAATACAGTTAAAAAGCAAAATGTCAACGGCCAGCCCATGGCTCACTTGGAAGACTGTGGTGCTGATAACACCAAAGCCATGGGTTCGGATCCCTATATAGAGATGGCTGGTTAGCTCACTTGGGAGAGCGTGGTGCTGACAACACCAAGCCAAGGGTTAAGATCCCCTTTCCAGTCATCTTTAAAAAAAAAAAAAAAAAAAAAGCAAAACGCCAACTTCTTTGAAAGTATGCTTATAGCTACTTTAATGCCACCAAAATCACTCTCAAATATTAATTTCTCAAGAAAAAAACTTACTAGCTACTTTAGAGAGAAGAGAAAAGCAGTTACCTTTTACAGGCAGACTTCTCTGTGAGCAGCTCTGGAGAGACGTACTGTGCCGTTCCTACAAACGAGTTGGCCCTGGCTGAGGAGAAGAGGGAGAAAAGGTCATGCTCACATGGAGTCGGTGCTGCCCACGGTGGCCGCACAGTGGGTGTTCAACACAGGTGGCCTGGGGCTTTCTTTCAGTACAGCACGGGCCACCTGGAATGGACTGCACACTCCCAGCAGTGAGCCTGTCCAGGCCCCCAGGGCTGGATCAAAGGTCCCCTGCTCCACAATGCCTGCCACACTAGTGCCTCCCACTGACATGCCACTGGAGAGCACGCTCATCATACTCATCCCTCATCCAGTCAGCAGCGCCTCAGCTAGGATGGAGCGGCACAAGGACAGGGTCCTGGCTGTCCTGCTCTCTGCTGGACCTGTGGTGCCTAAATGCACACGAGACACACAGCAGGCCAAGGACAACCCTGTTCTCAGTCACAGAGAGCTCAGGAGTTAAGGAGCAACAAGGGGAAGATGATGCAGGCCTCCTGCCCAGGGACCCTCCTTCACACTCTGTACCTCTAGTCCTGGCCAGGGCCACACAAGGTCACCAAGCTCACCCACAGACTGCAGGGTCAGCCCCAAGACCCTCCAGACTCACTCATCACAGACATGCTGTGTCACCCCAGTGGTCCCCAAGGACGGAGGGGCTGACAGAGCAACCATGCATGCTGGGCCAGCTCCCACCACTCCAGGGTCCTGCCCACAGGTAGGCTCTGAGCGTCCCACCCATCTGCCCTGTGGGTCCAAGCCCTGTAAAGGGTCCTTTCAGGTAAAGACCTCATGGCTGCATTTGCACCCTGCCAGGACCCTAAGCCACACCACCAAGAACACCACAAAAATTCCTGAGAGGAAAGAAACAAAACCAAGAGCCAAATATAAATGAAGCTATTCAACCACACAATGAACCAAAGAAAGTGACAAAGAGAAAGAAGGGTAAAAATACACAGCTTGGGCAGGGGCCTGAGGGGATAGAAGCAGGCTAGCGGAGCTGCAAAAGGGCGTAACTCTGGGGGAGCAATCTGTCAATGAGCATCAAAACTAATAAAGAATGGGCAGCAATGCCATCTCTAACACCTGATCCTAAAGGACGGAACAGGAATGACAACTACAAGAGCCATGTCGCTGGTGGGATGGGGATGTCACTTGACACTTCACTTACCTATTCAGTGTTTCTGCTCTTTACTTAAGCAAGTATTACTTTTGTGATTTCTACTTTTTAAATATCATTATTGAACATATGAATTATGAAGTACCTAGAAATCTATTTTCATAGGGAAAGATGTATATTATACATAATTAATTCAAGCTGTCAAACCAAAACTAGAGCCGTTTGTTTTTAAATAGTTACATTATGCACAAGACAAAGTCTAAAAGGATAAAAACCCCCACCTCACAGATGAGCTTTAAACAGTGAGCCACAACGTTATTCGAATTGTTCTTGCTGCTGTTGTTTTAAGCTTCCTGCAACAGGTCACGGGCCAGCCCTGCCTGCTCCCACTGCCCACTTCCCCATGTTCTGCCCAGCACCGCGCTCCCCGCCCACCTCTACTCCTCTGGGCTCCCCAGGGTCCTGCCCACTTTCCCTTCTTTCCTCAGTGTTTGCCTGCCCTCATTTCTTCAGCCCCAGGAGCCCAGGCCCCTCTTCCTAAAGGCGGAACTCAAAGCCCCCAGGAATATGCAAAGTCACCCCCTTGGAAAAGGACCTCTTCCATTAGTTAACCTAGAAACAAAGGACTGCTCTAGAGTGTGCAGAAGACGATGACTGTCCTCAGAATAATGATCTAGATGCATAAAACAACAGCACTACAAAGGAAAGCAATTATAATGACATATAAGTACCAAAACACTAAAATAGATTGTGATGCAGTAATACATGATTTTCTTTATTTATGCATTAAATAACAACATCTACCAGCAGGTCTAAGAAGACAGTAATTCTGCAGTAGTGCTGAGCATAACTGATGTTTTCAGATGCTCTGACAAATGTAATCGGACATGAAAATATCTGATTTCTCCTGGGGACATAAGACATTTGTCGCCTACATTCACAACTGAAGGAAAGGTTAAGCTTCACTGAAAGGTCAGTGAAAGTAAGCAATTTCCTCCTTTTTTTTTTTTAAAAGATGACCGGTAAGGGGATCTTAACCCTTGACTTGGTGTTGTCAGCACCACGCTCAGCCAGTGAGCGAACCGGCCATCCCTATGTGGGATCCGAACCCGGGGCCTTGGTGTTATCAGCACCGCACTCTCCCGAGTGAGCCACGGGCCGGCCCAGCAATTTCCTCCTATCCAGCTTCCCAGATGCTCTGACTTCTATCTGTAACACTGGATTAAAAGCCCCAGACAGAGCATTAGAAAACCACAGAGATGCTTTAGTTACTTCTCCCTGGAAGCTTAGAGATTAGCCAAAGGTCACACTTCTCCGGCTACTGCAAACTCAGGCCATAAGCCATCGCTGGCCACTGCTGCCTCCTCTGTGCCACCGACCCACTTAGCAGAACCCACAGACGCTGGGAAAAGAGAAGGGTCTGGAGCTGGGCTGTTGACTCTACCCTCAAAGTGGGTCAAAGACACTGCACCTCATCCTGAGCCATGGACCACCCTGGGTCCCACAGATCTGCAAGTTAGACTTGGGGGTGCCAGTAGGGAGGGAGGACCTGAAGAAGTGACCCTGAGCCCTGAAGACACCACCCTCTCTTCAAAGCCAAGGGTGCACACTGCCGTCAGATCCACACACCCACACCGGAAGCACAGAAAACACTCCACAAAATGTGACTGCCCTTAGACAAAAGACGCACAAACTGAATGTTGCAACATATAGAAAGGCTCAGGCACCACGACCAGGAGGTTTTTCCCATGACTAAAAAGTCCATGAACCAACGCATTACGTCATATTAGAATAAAGGACAAAAACCCCACATAATCTCAAAAGATGAAGAAAAAGCATTCAATACCTCTGCATGATAAGAAATACCTACTAAACTAGGTACAGAAGGGAACATCCTCAGTCTGAGAAATGGCAAGTACAAAAACCCAAAGCTAACATCATACTCGATGGTGAAAGACTGACAGCTGTACCCCCTAAGACCACGAACACAACGGGACACCCATTCTGGCCATATCTATCAGACACTGCACCAGAAGTTCCTGCCAGGGCAATTAGATAAGAAAATAAAATAAAAGGCATCCAGATTGGAAGAGAAGTAAAACTAGCTCTCATCACAGATGACATGATCCTGTGTGTAGAAAGTCCTGAGGAATCCACTAAGAAACTACTGCAACTAATAAACACGTGCAACCAGGGTAGGACACGGATTAATAAACAAAAATCAATTGTATTTCTATACACCCGCCATGAACAATTTGGAAATGAAATTAAGAAAACAATTACATTTACAATAACATCAAAAATAAAATAACTTAGGAATAAACTTAATAAAGGAAGTACAAAGTTTACACTCTGAAAACTATAAAATATTTTTGAAAGAAATTTTAAAAGATCAAAATACGTGGAAAGACATACCATGTTGATGGACTGGAAGACTTAATAAGGTTAAAATGGTAATACTCCTGAAACTGATCTACAGACTCAATGCAATCCCTATTCAAATCCCAGCAGGCTTTCACTTAGAACAATGTTTTCAAAGTTCACGCATGCTGTAGCATGTATCAACAGTACCTCATTCCTTCTTATGGCCCAGTAACATTCCATTGCATGGACAGACCACAGTTTGTTTATCCATTCATCTGTTGATGACACGTGGGTCATTTCCACCATTTGGCTATTGTGAATAATGCTGCTATGAACATTCTTGTACAAGTTTCTGTGTGAATATGTTTTCATTTCTCTGGGGTACTTACCTAGGAGTGGAATTGCTGGGTCATATGGTAATTATGTTTCCTTTTGAGGAGCTGCCAGACTGTTTTCCAAAGTGGCTGCACCATTTGACATTCCTACCCACACTGCATAAGGATTCCAATTTCTCCACAGCCTTGCTAACACCTGTTATTAGCTGTCTTTTTGATTACAGCCATCCTACTGGGTATGAAGCCATCCTAGTGGGTATCTCACTATGATTTTAACTTGCATTTCCCTAATGACTAACGACGTTGAGCATCTTTTCATGTGTTTGTTGGCCATCTGTATATCTTCTTTGGAGAAGTGTCCATTCATACCCTTTGCCCATTTTAAATTTTTTTTTAATGATTGACTTGTAAGAATTCTTTATATTCTGAATATAAGTTCCTTACCAGATAGATGATTTATAGATCTTTCTTCCTATTCAGTGGGTTTTTTCACTTCCCAGATATCACTTACAGTACAAGTTTGTAAACTTGATATAGTGTCATTTGTCTACTTTTTCTTTTGTTATTTGTACTTTTGGTATTGTATCTAAGAAATGACTGCCTAACCCAAGGTCACAAACATTTACTCCTAGCTTTCTTCTACGAGTGTTATAGTTTTCACTCTTACACTCAGATCTCTGAGGCATTCTGACTTTACTTATATGTGTGATATGAGGTAGTGATGATTACTTTTTGAATGAACTGGTCATCATTGGAGGAGGATGGTGAGCCAATTCATGGTTTTTTAAAATGGCATAAGAAGGGGAGAGCAGCAGGCATTTTATCCTACTTTTCCTTTCCTTTTTGTCTTTTTTTTACTGACCGGTAACGGGATCGCAACCCTCGGTGTCGTGCCCTCACCGGGGACCGGCAACAGGATCGCAACCCTCGGTGTTGCGCCCGCACCATGCTCAGCCAGTGAGCGGGAACCGGTCTCCACATGGGATCCGAACCCTCAGCGGGAGCGCAGCCACACTCCCAAGCGGCGCACTCTCCAGTGCGCCACCGGGCCGGCCCTATCCTACTTTTCCTTTATGAATGATACCATTGGTATTAACCACACAGTAGCTGAGAGGAAGTATCTCTTTGAAGAATTCCACCTCATGAAAGAATTAGACCATGACCTTTTTGCATTCTCTAGTACCGGGGACCGGCAACGGGATCGCAACCCTCGGTGTTGCGCCCGCACCATGCTCAGCCAGTGAGCGGGAACCGGTCTCCACATGGGATCCGAACCCTCAGCGGGAGCGCAGCCACACTCCCAAGCGGCGCACTCTCCAGTGCGCCACCGGGCCGGCCCTATCCTACTTTTCCTTTATGAATGATACCATTGGTATTAACCACACAGTAGCTGAGAGGAAGTATCTCTTTGAAGAATTCCACCTCATGAAAGAATTAGACCATGACCTTTTTGCATTCTCTAATAAATTAAAGTGTTTAGGTCATTATGGCTACAAATAGCTGCTGACATCACAGAGAGATGCCTAGATGTTATGTACATCCTGATGAGGAGCATACCACCACCAGTCATTGGACCTGAATATGATCTAGTGGCCAGAGCCAACTTCCAGGAAACCCAGAGGAGGGAAGCACATATTAAGTGACTCCACTGACAGGCATTCATCAAACTCTGGTAAATACTGCAGGACAAATGACCCGGTCTCTTTAACAAACTGCAAGGGAAAAAAATGAAGATGGAAGGGAAGTTACAGATTAAAAGAAATTTGTGCAAACTTTATTTGGATCCTAATTCAAGTAAACAACAACAACAAAAATACAATGTGCGTGAGACAACTGGAAATTTAACACTGATTGAATATCCTGGGATATTAAGCAATTACTATTAATTTCTCATGTACAAAAATGATACGATACTATAGTTATGCTTTTAAAAAGAAGCTTTATATTTTAGCAATACATACTGAAAAATCTACAAGGAAAACTAACCAATGGTGTTGGGAGGCAAGTCACAAGTATAGTGTGAATTTCTTCCAATAGGCATCTACTCTGTGTAAAAAAAAAAAAAAAAAAGATAAAGCCCACCCATATATCATAGCCATGTCTAAACTAATAACAGTACTGAAAAGACCAGAGCAGACCACATCAAGATGTAAGAGTCACGCTCGTTGGTGGAAGTAGGGGGACTCCTCTGTCCTGCACACTCCACTTTCATAATGGAGGAAATCCATTTTGAAGGTGGCTCCTTTCCGTCCCAGGCAGCAGGTGGTCCTGCCCATGTTAGAATGGTGGTAAGGTCAAGGAGGCTATGAGAGGGTCTCTTGATTCCACAGCACAGCAGGAAAAGACATAGCAGCTGGTCTGAAGTCTGGATGATGGCCAGACACAGGTTGGGACTGAGGTGCCATTGCAGTAGCTGAAGCCTCCTCCATCCATCCTCTCTGTGGCCATCCCTGCCCATATCTGCTGGCCTCCCTCCTTCCTGTTTGGTGAGTGAAGCTTTCACACCTGGCTGTGTACCATAAAGGCCTGCACAGGTCAGAACACAGGTTTCCAGAAACAAAATCTCCAAGATATTCCAAGCTCCCCAAGGCTCTTGCAAAGAGGGCATAGGCCAGGGACACAGCATCAGAAGAGAGACTTACTACAAATAAGTAAGCTGCTCTCACCAGGCTACGTCTGTGGGGACCTTATGTGAAGCTGGAAGTCAGAAGTCCTCTCTGTCAAGGACTCCTCATCAATCTCTCAGCCCTCAAGAGCCACCTACTCCACCCTCCATCCTCTCTACTTCGAGAACCAATGGCTACCTAACCCACTGGGACAGAGGTCTGTGATGAGAGGACAAACTGCCCCCTCTAGGAGGAGGATCTGACATGTTCACCGCACAGCTAAAGAACTTGGGTGGGGGGTCTTGCTCCTACCAACACTTTTATTCTAGAAGGATTGAAGATGCTTTGGGGAAACCATCTCTGCACAAAAGTAAAAAGAAGCCAATGCGGAAATAAACTCTAAGATTCTGAACTACTTCAAACAGAAAATGAAAATAAGTTACTGAAATGAATCCTTAACATAATTAATTATAAATGGTTTCCCCTTTTCCTTGAAGAAGGAAAAACAGTTCTGCCAGCTCATCTATATACATTATTGTCCCTGGTTTACAACAATCTAAGGACTTTTAGCCTCCTGCTTCCCAAAACAAAGGTTTATTTCACTAGTTCAATCGATGCATTAAAATTCTATTGTTTTAAGTGATTATAGGGCAGCAAGACTAGCCCTGTGCCAAATTATCAGACTCTGAAGAAAATCCACGTGAAGGGAAAAATGCCCCAGCACAGCCCAGGTGGGCATCCCCCAGCTCTGCTGCCCCAGGAACCACATGGGCTTGTCTGGTGGGAAGAGTCAGCACGGGGATGCCAAGCAACTTGTAGATCCTAACAAGAAAAGTGGAGATGAAAGTTCTTGTCTGGTTCAACTCCGGCATGAACAATGCCTATGGTTATGAGGTTACACTGTGTCCATAAAATACAGGATTACCAGCCAGTAAAATGGTTACCACCTAACAAGAATGCATAACGTCTTGGGGCTGTGTGCAGCTCTGCAGGCAGGCGCCAGTGCTCTGCAGGCAGCCACCCATGCTCACAGGCCACTGGGTGGGAAAAAGGGGAGCAGGGCTACAGACGGCAGGTGAGGGGCACCAGGACTCAGGCACCTTATGAGGAAGAGTCTCTTCTTTGCAAGTTTTCTTTTTCTTTCTTTTTTTTTTTTTCCTTTTTGTCTTTTTTACGGGATCGCAACCCTCGGTGTCGCGCCCGTACCGGGGACCGGCAACGGGATCGCAACCCTCGGTGTTGCGCCCGCACCGCGCTCAGCCAGTGAGCGGGAACTGGTCTCCACATGGGATCCGAACCCTCGGCGGGAGTGCCACCGCGCTCCCAAGCGGCGCACTCTCCAGTGCGTGACCGGGCCGGCCCTGCAAGTTTTCTTTTTAGCCCCAAAGGGGTGCTGCTTCAGGATTTTCAGAGAAGTTCCCAAATGCAAGACTAAGTCTTAGTGCCTCAGTGGCTGTGCAGAGATTAACATACTGACTGGCCCGGCCCGTGGCTCACTCGGGAGAGTGCAGTGCTGATAACATACTGACTGACAGAATCTCAGTGCGAACCCTCAGCATAAAAACACTGGGCTAGAAAAACACCTAAAAGGGCAAGATGAGGTGCTGGGCAGAGGAGGCGGGCACTGCTGCAAGGTGCCAGCCAGGCCCCCCCAGTGAACCCAGAACATGAAAACAGAAGACCTAGGTTGAGCTGGGAACAGTCCTGCGTCGCTTAGCGACAGGGATACATTCTGAGAAATGTGTCATTAGGCAATTGCGTCATTGTGTGAGCATCACAGAGTGCACTCACACTAACCCACACTGAATGGCCAGCTGCTCTTATGTAAGTGACGTGTCGCACCACAATGTTGTGACAGCTATGACATCACTAGGCGACAGGAATATTTCAGCTGCGTTATGATCTTACAGGACACCATCATGGGATATGCAGTCCATCACTGACCCAAAGGTCATTATGGGGCACATGGCTGTACGTGCTCCACCCCAGCTGTAATCTGCTGCTCCTGCCACAAACCAGCACTGTGCATGGGGACAAGGCCAGAGCCACCACCGCACCATGCTCAAGGTTCCCCTTTTCCACACACGAGAGGAACTGAAGAATTATGGATGCTTCTGATTGAATCTTCCCTCCACCAACACACCCACACTCACGCCCCTCCAAACCCACCTCCTGCATAATCACCTCCCTGGTGCTTTCTGTCGATCTTTCTGTCACAGTACCCAAGCCCAGACAGCAAGGCCTGTGTGCGGCAGAGACCCATGGCTGCCCCTTGGTCCCAGGCAGCTCTGGCAATCACACTCGTCTTACTAACTCACAACAGCCTCAGCTCCCCTCAGGCCTCAGCAGAAAAGGCTTTAACTTGTAAACACGTGCGAACAGTCTTCAAAAGTTAAACTGCCATTCTTTATACCTCCAGAGTTTATGATTTCCATCCAATAAGGTCAGTAAGACAACCCAGGCCACCATTCTGGTCCAAGTAGACTTCCAGCAATACTTCCTCAAGTAATGGAGTTGTCACAATAAGATCCAAAGCTAGAAACCATCCTAGGGGAGCAGAACTTGGAGGGTTTGTGATTATAAATACGCATTTGACCAGCAGGAAAAATCTGCCCCACTCATTCTGTGATTTTCTAAAATCTCACTAAAATCAGAGTGCGCGGGCCTCATGTGCTGGGCAAACCAGACAGGGACACAGACAGACAGATGGAGGGCACTGGGGTACAGGGACATGTTCCCCCAGATACTACCCACACTGTCCCCAGGAGGAGCCAAGAGCTGACCACACCAACTCTGCATTCTGTGCCTGGGTAACTAGGCAGCAGTGTGGCACCCCACATCATCCAGGAAGAAGATCTGGGAGGATGAGCCCCAAAGCCTCCCTCCCTCCACCCACTAGACCTGGCACACACTGCCTGGGGCCCCTTAGGGAGATCCGCTGGCGTGTCGGAGACTTCCCTGGTGAAAGCTCAAGATCTGTTTTACAAGAGCAAAGATATGACAAGCCTGTCATTAACGATGAAGACAATACAATGCCACCCATTTCCCAGAAGTAGCTTTCAGTCTCCAGCACAGAGCGGGCTCTGCTGGAAATGAAACCACACACCTTGTTTGCTCTCTGGGGATAATACTTTTGCTGTCCCAAAGTCTGTGATCTGGATATGCATGTCTTCATTTAACAGAATGTTTTCTGGTTTAAGGTCCCTGTAAAAGTAGATTTTTACATTTGAGATGAAATACTTAAAACAACAACGTTATTTCATACTTTAAATTTTGCTGATAACAAAATGAACTGATGAATATTTACAGTCTTTACAGACTAACAACTAAGAACACAAGTCTAAATTCATACTGAACCAGTATCAACTGCAAACAATAAGGACACTCAAATCACATCCCTTCATAACTGCACCATCATCTTTAACAAACTTCTTATTAAAGTATACTCTATCATTTTTAACTCATCAAGAGTTTATAAACACTTCCAATTTGACTTAATCAGAAAGTCATGGAAATAAGTACACACAAAAGCTACAACTGACCAAATAAAAGAACCAGTCAAGGTGGCTAAAAGAACTGTCAGCTTGGCAGGAAAGACACCTGGCCAATTTGATCGGCTCTTCATAGGTGAATCTTTCTCCGTCAGGGTTCCACAGTCCCACCCCTTGGTGGAGTAAGTCTGCACCAACCTCAGAAGGCAAGGAGGGCTTTGGGCATCCACCATCACATGTGAGCCAGATGATCACTGGCCGTAATTACTGAAGTGACTATCCAGCGCCCACTGCCCAGGGCACTCCCGGAGTTACCTGTGGATGACACCCTTGCCGTGCAGGTACTCCAAAGCAGACACGATCTCGGCTGCATAGAACCGGGTGCAGGTCTCATCAAATGAACCTATTTTGCGAATGTATTTAAGGAGTTCTCCATTTTTGGCATAACTAAGGCCAAAATCTGAATATTGTACAGTTAAGGAAGAGTATAAAACTCATTGTTTAAAAAACTAACCTTAACAGCCCAGTAAGACTTTCTTTATTAAACGCAAACTGAAATAAATATATAAATAAATACATAAATAAATGCAAACAGAAGGTACCTGTGGTGTGGCCCAAGATAGTCACCCTTTTTGGAGTCAGATCCTTGGCCACTGGGTCTGACAGGAATCCCAGGTCCCAGCTCCAATACTGGGCTGCTGGACGAAATGCTCTGAAGATCTAAAACAAACCAGCCCTGAGACCCTCCCCAGGCCCCGGGCCTGTCAGCCATGGGACCAGCCCACGGCCCCTCTCTAAGTAAATCCAGCAGGAAGAGGCTGCTCTCCACGTTGTCTCCACTTCCTCACCCTTCACTCCTTTTTGACCTTCCACCGAGAAACTGCCCATCTACCTTTGACAACTTGTACAGGCTAAACCTACTAGTCAGGCCTTAAGTCCTGTGTACTTGACCACTCTGCAGCATCTGACCAGGTAGCTGGCACCTTGGTCAGAAACCATCCGACCCCAGGGCCTCTGTGTCTCTGTCCTGCCAGCTCCCTATCAGCTTCCCGCCAGTCCCCTTGGTGGGCTGCTCCTCGTGCCAACCCCTGCATGTGGGAGAACCCAGGCTCTATCCCCAGACAAGCCATCCTCTGGAAGCCGGCCAGTCCACTGACACACTACAGATATGCACATCACCCTGACTCCTCCAGGACTTCTGTGGGCAGCCACCCAACAGCGAGCACCAGCGATGCGTCAGATGTCCACCCAGCCTCCACCCCAGCCTGGCCTCTCCTGGCTCAGTAGCAGACACGGCTGTGCACCAGGCTCCGGGCACCAGCACTCAGGGGCTCCCCTGACTCTGTTCTCTTGCCCAGGCCCCTTATAAGAGCCTCCCCTGCTGCCCTCAGGCCCTACTCTCCAGCCTGGACCACAAGCACCCACTGTCACAGCAAGTCCTGCACTCCCTGACACAGACAGAAGAAAATCCAAAATTGGTACCAGGCCACAATAGCTCAAGGAGCAGGCCCCCAACCAGCCTCCTCACTCACCCCACACATGCTCCTGCCTTGGGCCCCTGGGCTGACTGACCTCAGGCTCAATGCTCCTCCCTCGCACATCCAGGTTTCTGCCGATGTCGTCTCCTCAGACCACTGAACTCAAAGAGCCCCCCTCTACAGGTGCCCCTTCCCTGGCCTTGCTCCTCATGGCAGCATATGCTGCTGCCTCGAAGTCCACAATGGATTTGCTGACATTCTGTGCACATCTACCTCCTCTACTAGAACAGAAGCTCCAGAGGGCAGAGCCTTCCCTCATTTACCTGCGTGTCCCATCGCCCTGCACTCCACAAGTACTTCTACATAAACAAAAGAATGAACAAATTCTGTTGGCAGCTGAAGAGACCAGAAGGTGGTTTTGAAAGTGGGAACAGGGGCAGGAGGAAGAGTTGGGGGTGGGGAGATCAGGCCCCGCTCTCAGGTGGGATGGGGAAGCCACGCCCCCAGTACATGGACCAACTCTGAAGGGTGGCAGAGGGAGGGCAGGGGGCTCTGCTGAGACCTGAGCAGGGAGGAGGCAGCAAAAGTTCAAAAAGAGAGGGCCAGCCCATGGCTCACTTGGGAGAGTGTGGTGCTGATGACACCTAGGCCACGGATTCAGATCCCTATATAGGGATGGTTGGTTAGTTCACTTGGGAGAGCGTGGTGCTGACAACACCAAGTCAGGGGTTAAGATCCCCTTACTGATCATCTTTAAAAAAAAAAAAGCTCAAAAAGAGAAAGGACAGCAGCAGCGGAAAGTGACACTGCTGGAGAAGTGTGAGGGACTGAACGAGCAGAGACAGCAATGGGTAGAGAGCACCTTGGGAGGGGAGCACAGCATTCAAGTCACGGTCCATCCTTGGACGTCCCTTCTAACCAAGCCCCACACCTGAAGGCAGAAGGAGCAGAGGCGCCAACGCTCCCCCGTGAAGCCGAGGATGCCGAGATCACCCTTCCTCTCTCAGGCCCCTGCTTCACCTGAGCACAGATGAGACATCTGATAGATATTCCAAGAACATTGGTTAGTGGCAGGAGGAAATGCCTTTGCATAAATGTCTAGCAACCATGAGCTTAAGATAATGAATAACAGTCCTTTAGATACAACATTAAAGAATGAAAGCCTGGAAAGTGTCTTCTGGTCTCCCCTCTTGTCCTGTGTCAGTGAGCCTCAGCCACGCCTTTGGCACTAGCCAGCCAAAAAGCAGCAGGGATGGTAACCATGTGGCGCCCATTTCTTTCAGGGGAAACAGACAATGGGGTCATGATACCAAAACAAGAGGGGTGACTGGGGTGCCTCCAGACAGTACTGACCACGCAAAGGATACACAGCTTTTCATCATCCTGAAACGTGAAGTAAAGCTTAACAAAGAAGGGGTGATCCAGGCGCGACATCACATCTCGCTCTCTGGTTACATACGGGACCTTGTTCTCTTTTATAATGTGACGTTTCTCCAGAATTTTAACTTAAGGCGAGAGAAAAGTGAGTTACTACAGTTTGAAACGGTAAAAAAATAACTAAAGACACAACTCACAAAAGTAACTGTTACGAATTTTAAAGAAATTTTTTTTTCAAAAATCATATACACCAGCTTCGCGGTCTCTAAGATCAACAGTGTCAATACCCTGACATCAGCTCACAACCTCCAGTCCCTGTCACCCAAGCTGCTGCACTGTCCCTGCATCCCAGACACAAAGCTCACTGGAGTGAGTTAGTACTTACTAGCATATTCCCTGGAGGTTGCCAGTTCTCGGGCCAGGACAACCTAGTTTGGGAAGAAAGGGGGGAAAAGAGAAGGAAAAAAACAATGTAATAACCAGGACACAGAGTCTGACGAGTCACTCTACAACACCACATGGGCTTCCCTGCCCCCTCTCAAGGGCTGAAACTGCATTAAAATATTTTGGGTCCCTTAATAACAAATACAGCTGAAAGCCAATGCTCATATTAATGTGTTCTAATAGTTAGCAGCAAACATATAAATCTCTCCATTGTTTTTCACAAGGCTCTTGATCCACTGCCAATAGTCTTCATGGTGCAGTTAAACTGTAAATTCAGGAACCTCTTAGACTAACATACCCTTCCTAAAGAGTAGGAAGTAATAGTAAATAATACCAAAAGTGGGTACTGGGAGTTTCTTCAAAAAACAACTGCAAGAATATGTCCTTCTAAGAAAAACAGATCACAGTGGTGTGTTGGACTTGCAGAGGGAGAGAGCATACCTAGGGTTGCTAGGGGGTGGGGGGGATTAATTGGGTGGGGGACATGGGGAATAAATGCAATTTGTGGTAATGGGCATGCTCATAGTATTGATCTCACCATCACATCTTGGGCACAGGTGGTGACAGTCAGCTTTGTACCCTATGAATAGGCATAATCAATAAAAAAAATAAATAAATAAAAAATCCAAAAAAAGAATATGTCTTTCTAGTATATGTCTATTGCAAAAAGCCCCCATGAATTTGGGCTTTTTCAAATAATTGTTACATTTCATTTGATGACACTCTCATATAACGTAAACACCATCATGGGTGTCAAGGGCACAGAGAACTATACACACGTGGCCCTGAAGGGAGGTCTCCTAGGAACCCCACCCACAAGAGCCAACTACCATCCCAGGCCGCCCTCTTGATTCCCACCATGTCCTCTCAATAGAACAGCTGAGCCCTGCACTCAAACTCCACTTCAGGGATGGAGCACCCAAACGCAGCATCCCTGACTTGGAAAAGGCTGTTCTCCATGAGCAGACCCTGGACACACTTGAAGTGCCAAACTGGAAACTCCTGATGGGCCCACAGTTTAGCCAGAACATGCCTGGGGGGCAGCTTTGCCACAGGAGGCCCAGCCACCACCAGTTGGTGTAAATCTGTCTCCTAAGACACCTGCAGAAGGATGGCCAAGACCCGACAGCACATGAAACCTGTCCCTGTGAAATCCCTGGGCCTGGCAGGAAGACTGGCAGGAGGCCACAGGGCCGGTTTCAACCTTGCCTCTTGCTTTGAGTTATACCCTGTGACAGTATTCTTCACGGGACTCCTCAGAAGTGATCCTGGAAGAGCAATGTGTGAAACACCCTGCAGTTATCAAGAAGAATGGAGGTGGACTATATGTACTCCAGTGGAAAGATCTCAAAGGAGGAATATACCATGTGTGGATAGTTCCCAGCCCCGGGGGAGTGAGGGGGAGTGAGGGGCAGTGGGCCAGGGCAGGACTTCCCATCTCTAGGTTAGGTATTTATGCAATGTTACATTTCTTCACAAGAGCATATACTAGCTATGCAAGAAAATAGGAAGAAAGAATTGTTAGAGAGTACCAATGTTGAGTGGAATTCTTTCCAAGGAGATATTTATGTAATCCTCTGTTGTCTAAGTTCAACATTTCATAAGCAGGTTTCCTACAGGGAGGGAAGGGTCCTTTTCCAGAGAATAACATGTGATGTGTCCTTCCACGTCACCCAGCGTGACAGACAGCAGGGCTAACCTGGACATCACGACTGTCCTCAGGGGGCTTCCTGCTCTCCAGTACCAGCGCCAGGCTCTGCCATGTCAAGACCCCACCCAGCCTCGTAACCACGGCTTGTCCTTGACCTCTCCCCTGGGAATCTCATCTTAAGTGGTCTCTATTTCAGGTATGGTGAGAAAGAACTGAGGGTAACTCAAGACCCAGGGCTGCGTATTCCAAACAGCCCCAGGAAGGAGCCTCCAGCTCACAGCGCTTTCCTGGGCACCTCCACAGTATAGGTTTAAAAAGGCACAGGGTGATGAGAATGACAACTGTGTCCCCCAGAAATGTTGGTGCCTACTTTCAACCCACTGGGGAAGCCCAGGGACATGGGCAATTTCACAGAGAAGTCCTCGTTTTCCAGTCAAGATAAATGTAAAGAAGTAAAACTGAGAAAAAGGGAGAATTCTTCTTTTACTGGACTATTATAAATAAGTACCCATGCAGAACACCCAGGGTTCTTTTCAAAATAGTTTCTTCTTTCTGAAATGATCATTGGTACCAGAACTACTGGGAACTATTCTCATGGTTGAAGGATTTTTTCATGAGGGCACAATCCTTTTCTAAACAAAACTCTTTCATAGAAGTTACAATAAAAAAAATCTAAATTAAAAGTATAAGAGCACCAAAGTTAACATTAATTAAAACAAGATGCTGGGAATATGGATGGGCTATAATGTTTCATGTTCTTTGTATTTTAAAATATTTAATAAAATGTAAAAAGAGAACAGGACAACAAATTTCACATACTACTCCTTCACAAAGACCAGGCAAGACACACTTGTTATTCAGGAACTATCCAGAACGGGGAGCCTGGAGCAGCCCCAGCACACGGCCCCCCCTCACTTAGCCCATCTTGAAGACCACAGTGGGTACAGGAATCTGTGTTTCTATGGGGGCACAGATGGAGACTGTGCACCCCGGAACCAGGGGAAGGGTCAGGTTCATAGGCCTCGCCCGAGATTGTCACGACCGTTGCCACGGCCACTACTCACGGGTCCCACCTCAACAAAGGGGCTGATGCTCTGAACCTTTGCTTTAAGAGGAACACACACCACATGGCAAGTAAAACTCACTCCAGTTGCGAAAAGAGTTATGAGAGTGACTTGACAGTACTGGGACAATATTTCTGTTTACAAAACTGAGAACACAAGAATCTGGAGGCTGCATCTCTAGCAAATGACCAGGGTCTACTGTTTTATGTACTTAAAAAAGAAAAACAAAACAAAGAAACAAAAAAGGCCATTAAATATTAACAAAAAACTCTTAGGAGAGAGTAATACTGACATTAACTCTTAATCTAGGGAACAGAAAAGCTTCCAGAGCCTTGCCAATGGGACACAAGAACCCAGAATGTAACTTGCTGATGCCAGGTTAGAATAAATTAACTTCATTTAAAAAACAAAAAAACCCATAAAACATCAAGAGATGCTTTTTAAAGCTTTCATCCACAAAAATTAGGTTTAGATATTTTAGCCACACTTCTTGGGTGATCTACTTAACGAGGAGCCCAGCCCCCAAAGACTCAAGTGCCTGGCCTTCACAATAGGAGACAGCCCACAAGCGGCCTGAGACCAACCCCAGGAAGAACGCCAGCTCTGGAGCTGGGTCTCTGGGCTCAGAACACCTGAAGGTCAGCCTTCCCAAGGAAAACACACTCATGTGACAAACAGCAGTAGCATATACTTACTGTTGAAAAAGAACCTTCACCGAGAATCTTCCCAAATTTGAAGTCCTCAGGCCGTTTCTTCCGAGGCTGTGGTGGTGGCTGAGTGGTGTGCTGCAGGGAGCTGGCACTCGACCGGGACTCGGCTGTGGTGCCATCCATGGCAGGGCTTTGCCTGCTGCCACCGCCGGGAATACCAGGGGCCGTGCTGGACTCAGTCTGGGTCCTCACCATTGATGGTGATGGGCAGGAACATAACACCACACTGGACTGAATGGGGACGGCGTCATACTGGTAGACACAGAGGAGAAAGAGGTAAGAGTCAAAGTGTTTGAACTCAGGCACCTCCTCTCAAGCCCTCAGGACAGGGCAGGCCATCTGACACGCTGCCACCCTCCGCCCAAGTCCTCTTCCTGCTCTTCCCCACCCGCCACTGCCATGGGCTGCACTCCTCCAGCCTCACCCCTCCCTCAGCACTGCCCCAGCCTCCCACCAACCCCTTCCATGGCCAAATCAAAGCAAGCAGAGATAGACAGCATCATACATTTTAAACTATGCAGGGGATGAACAGATAAGAGTGATGACTGAATATGTTTACAATACACAGAGATGCCCAGTGCTGGCAAGGCCATGATAAAGCAAGCACACTCAAACAGCTGCCGCTGACGCTGAAAACCGGTGTCCCTCTTAAAATGTTTATGGAAAACAATTTGGCAATTGTCAACAAAGCGACTACTGAACAGTTGTCAAAGAGACATACAGAAATACGAAAAGAGACGAAGGTAAAAACACAGTTAAAAATTCAAGTCATCCCTGTACCGGCCAGCCGCCAAAAAATAAAAATGTAAGTGAGCATTAGGAAAGGATCAGATAGTGCTCAAAGCTAAATCAGAAATATGTAAAAGTTGCACCCACAGACATAAAAATCCCTTCTCCAGCTCTGACCGTGACATGTTCTCACAGTGGCAACACTGGCCCACCCACGACCAGATTGTGATAGAACAACATGAAATAAACTCAAAGTACCCAGAAGGGCACCTAACTCATGTCTCATTACGGTCCTGGAACCCACGCTGGTCTAAAAACAAGGAAACTCCTCCCATGCCTGTGGCAGCATGGAAGGGCAGGAAAGCCAGCCTGAAGGGTCTGCCACTGGCCAAGTGGTGGCATTTTAAACACTAAAAACAGATCAACCAGAATAGGCTGAAACTGAGAAAAGTCATGAGTCTGTAATGATACAAAAAGTTGGTAAAAAGTACATCAATAGTGTAATATAAAAGGCTGAACACAAGTAAATGCTTAATTTCATTCATGTAAATAAAGAAGTGTGTGGACATATAGAACTGTTTCTTGTATTGTGTGTATGTTTGCTTACAAAGGAGAGACAAGGAATTACTCTCTGTGTGTAAACAGGAGAGAATACACACTGTGAAGAAAAAAGAATTCTGGAAAAGTAGAAACTGTACCAAGAACAGGAAGGACAGGTGGGCACACAGTAACAAACAGTGTGCGGCAGGATGACAGCTTAGCCACCAAAGAGAACAGCTAAAAGAGAAAAATGCATTTTGTGATCTCAAGATGAACAAGACAAAAACACATCTAGACAGAACATCCTGTGACCCAAACACGATGAGCACGGAGGTGGAGACGGGAGGCAGCAGATGGCAGAACATGCAGGCATGGGGCCGTCCATGCAGTGCTCAAGCCCTGGCTCCACACAGGAGGCCAGCCCAGGGGACAGAGGCCCAGCCAGGTCTCCCAGAAGACACACCACAGCTGGTTCCCAATCAAGGAGCCATCGTCAATAACTCTGCACCTGCACCGTGGCTGGGAAGACAGGCTTCTCTTTCCTACAAGTCTGCTAAGTTCATCCTAAGTCCAGGCAGGGTATAAAATTATGAAGGAGTTAACCAAACACACAGTATCAGTGAAATATGACTAACTGACTTTGTAATAAATATCCAAGAGAATCTGATAAAAAATGTTTTTATTTTCTAGAGTGCTAGTAGATGTTTGTTTATTTATTTAGGCAGTTGGCAGGAACAGGGATCGAACCCTGGACCTTGGTGTTAGCAACTCAGTAAGTTTGAACATTAAGGAAAGCTCAAATACTAGCAAGTATTCCCCATATACAAAACCCCTCCGACACAAGATAATCACTCGACTCCCTCATACAAACTCATCCTAAGAGAATGATTCAACAGTATTTTAAAGCCCCATTTATAAAATATTCCATTGCAGCTTTGGGTATTACAGCAAAAGCTCAGAACAGCCTACATGCTCACCACAGAGAAGTGATTCAGTAAACAGGGGCATACACACTTAAACTTAAAGGAATACCACACAGCCCTTAAAAACAGACTTAAAGGCTGTGGACACATGATACAAAATTAAAACAATTTAAGGGTATACTGGAATTTTATGTACTCTTCTGGCAAATTTTCTAAAAGTTTGAAATTATTTCTAATTAAAAAGCAAAACGTATGTATAAAAGAATACAAAACCGCGTGAATACTAACATTGCAAAAATGTTACAAACATACCTATAGAAGAGACTGACAAGAAAATGACTAAATGAAAAGTGGTTGTTAAAGTAGTGGGATTATGCATGCTCTTTGTATGCCACATTTGTGATAGAATCGAAAAGAAGCAAATACCCAAGCTAAATACAATTTGAAGCAAACGGTCCAAGCTGTCCTGATGTAAAGACAGGCTGGTGGCCTCTGGGATGGAAGGATACTCCACATGTGCCTAAGGAGCTGCTCCAGCAGCCAGTGCGAGCATCAGGCTTTGGTACTCCTGGAAGTGCAGGGCTTTTTTTTTCTTTTCTTTCTTTCTTTTTTTTTTTTTTTAATAAAAGATGACCGGTAATGGGATCTTAACCCATGACTTGGTGTTGTCAGCACCACACTCTCCCAAGCTAACCAGCCATCCCTATACAGGGATCTGAATCCGTGGCCTTGGTGTTATCAGCCACAGGCCGGCCCTCCCATGTACTCTTGAATCAGAGACTCCTAAAGCTTGGCGACTAACACCTTCCCCAGTATGCAATCTGTGTGCAGTCTCCCACAGGTAACCAACCCCTGGCAAACAGTGCAGACATGACCAGCAATACAGAACCTCTAGCTGGACCGGCCACCCAAAGAGCACCATTCATTTATGGGAAACTGCTGTTTTCTTGAAGGTTCCTAAGGGTCGCCAATAAGCCAGGTATGCCTTATGAATTTCATAAATACAATTAGGCATCGCTGGATGACATGGGCTTGTTCTGAGAAATGCATCGTTAGGCGATTTCATCACTGTGCAATCACACAGTGTACTTACACAGACCAAGATGGTATTGCCCACTGCTCTATGTGAGTAACGCACTGCACTACAAAGTTAACTACAGCTACGGGCCGGCCCGTGGCTCACTCGGTAGAGTGCGGTGCTGATAACACCAAGGCCACGGGTTCGGATCCTATATAGCTGATAACACCAAGGCCACGGGTTCGGATCCTATATAGCTGATAACACCAAGGCCACGGGTTCGGATCCTATATAGCTGATAACACCAAGGCCACGGGTTCGGATCCTATATAGCTGATAACACCAAGGCCACGGGTTCGGATCCTATATAGGGATGGCCGGTTTGCTCACTGGCTGAGCGTGGTGCTGACAACACCAAGCCAAGGGTTGAGATCCCCTTACCGGTCATCTTTAAAAAAAAAAAAAAAAAGTTAACTACAGCTACAACATCACTAGGAGATAAGAATTTTTCAGCTCCACTATTTTATTTTTACAGCTGGCTGGTATAGGGATCCAAACCCACGACCTTGGTATTATAAGCACCACACTCTAACCAACTGAGCTAAGCAGCCAGCCCTCCATTATAATCTTATGGGGCCACCATCATATACACAGTCCATCTCTGACCAAAACATTGTAATGTGGTGCATAACTGTCCTCCATTTCACAAGAGGAACAAGGCCTCAGTCCCTTAATGATCTCTATAACCAAAGCCTACAACATGGCCTAAGTATGATCAGACTCTAACAACTCTACCCTCAGAGATCAGCAAGAACTTTCCATTTTCAGGGGTAATGGTAAGTGGAGAAAAGGTCATGATCACCAGGTTCAAGGCCAGCAGGAACCACAATTGGCCTGAACTGTCCTCACAAGGCAGGCCAACCATGCTACAAACAGACTGTGTGCAGCAGAGCACTGAGCACACCTGACAAAGTTCCTAGACACAGTAAAGGGCCTCCAGGGCCATCCCATGAGCAGACTTTGCAGCCCAGGACTGCAGAACAGCAGAACTATGCTGACCTGTAGGGGCACACACAAGGGAGGAGAGGCGAGCCAGCACTCCACACTGTGCAGTCCCGGGCACCCGCGGGTGGCCGTCACTGTCCCACAAGTGGGGGAGGGACACACCTGTCCTACCAAATGTGTAAGTCAGATCAACATGGGTGTGTTTAGGGCCGGCCCAGTGGCGCACTCGGTAGAGTGTGGCGCTTGGGAGCGCGGCGGCGCTCCCGCTGAGGGTTCGGATCCCATATAGAGACCAGTCCGCTCACTGGTTGAGCACGGTGCGGACGCAACACCGAGGGTTGCGATACCATTGCCGGTCATGAAAAAAAGACAAAAAGGTAAAAAAGAAAAAAAGAAAAAAAAACCATGGGTGTGTTTAAAGGACTCACATTAAGTTCATCTGTGTGCCTAGCCTCCGGCCAAGCAAGGCTCACGGAGACAGTGGAAGGGATGCATAAGACAGTGGCAAACTATCCTCCTATATGACGGGATCCAGCGGCTTCTCCATCATATGAGCCATCCAGCCCAGTCCTGGCCTCAGCCTAGGGCAAGCACAGCCCCCCATGCAGAAGAGCACCAAGCGGTGCACAGAGGTAGCAGTCAACCATGGCAAGCTTGTATAGGAAGCTTCAACTTAATCAGAGATACAAAGGAATGTGTTGCTTTTAAGTAAAAATTGACAAATGAACTACTGAGCAAAATCTCAAACATGAATGAATTTTTTATATAACAAAATGTGACAGGCTAATTCATGGACCCGGAAAAACGTAATTTGCATGTCAAAATGTGTCTAAACCCAAGGATGATTCTGGCCAAAGTGCCAACATCGCCGTCACAGGAAGTTCTTGGCCCAGGTGGAGGAGAGCAGCACTGTCTCTTCATGGTGGACAGGACCTTAGCCCTCAGAGGTACTATAAGCAATATCCAAGAGCAATGAAGAATTGTCCAAAGGGTCAGCTGTGATGGCTGTGGAGACTGCAGACAGCAGGCGTCCAC